CTCTCATCTTTTTAAGTGGGAGAACTTGCACAATTGGTGGCTGACTAAATACTTTTTTGCCCCACTGTAAGTATTCACAGAACAGGCTCTCTGGAACTGATCTTCAAAATTAAAGATACTTACATTATGTGTGAAGAAGTATTGTAGGCCACTGCTAGCCCAAACTCCGAGACCATCACTGCATGGCTCTCCTGCTGAGTAGATGTAAATGCTGCTAGGAGAAATCCTGGCTCCATCAATATCCCTGGTTCCAATACATGATGATCTGGAAAAAGACGGCACTTTAAGGACAAGCACCAGGCTGTGGAAATATTCCAGGAAGTTTAGGGCCATGTACCAAAATGATATAGGCATATAACTAACTTGGGTTCAAAAATAACAGCAATTTCTCTGCTGTCATGTATGGCTTGGATCTTCTTAGTTACCCCTAGAATCCAATGTTGTGATCAAGGATGTGTGGTTTGAGGAGGTAGCCTGTCCTGTTATCAGATAGATGACACCCTGAATAGGATACAGATTGTCCTTTTGCAAACCCGGATACTGTAGGCTTAAGGATAAATTTTAAAAAGCTCATCTGAAAGAGCTCAAGCTCCTAAATTCATCAGAGCTTTTGGAGACACAGGTAGTAGCAAAGCATCTTTTCCAGCAAAAAATTCTTCTCATATTCTGCAAGTAGCGCAGTACCAGTGGCTGCATTCTTAAGTTCTTAAGACATATAGTAGCCACACAATCAACCAACAATACTCTTAGCACAAAAGCCTTTGTGTTATTTCCAAGTTGATATCTTCAACATGGCATGTACCCAGATTCCACATCTTATGTGGGAAGACTCCTCAGTTGATAGATGAAGAACTGCAATCTTTCACTTCTTTGTTCCTAGATGCTATGGTCACAACAGGCAACTCTAAAATATACTGGAAAACATATTACCTCAACCATTGACAGCAGAACCTTTGGAGCCAGAGGAAGTGCAACAGGCAGCACATCAACACCTTGGAATTGATATTAGTGATAAAAGAATTTTGAGAATTTGAAACTCTTTTGAAGCTGCCATGGACAATACCATGTTTCTGTAGCATATGAACAACTTGGTATTTCTGCTTGCAGACTTTGGAAGAAAGTCTTTGGTGTTGGTGTATCTTCTGGCGATACACATGGCAGGCATTGCTAATATTCTCAACTGCTAAGTTGTCAGTAAAATATTCAGAAATTGGGAACAACTGAGAATAGACTTGCTCACTATCAGTGAAAGCACTTTTTGCTACCCAAACTAATGCTCCTGTAACTTGCAATCAGAAAGATCTGAGATTGACTTCAATCTTTAGGGATGTTAAAGAAATCTTAAATTTCTAGGAAGTTGTACATGCACAAATCCTGTTACAAATTTAAAATAAATTTTAGTTGTTACAAATCACCACACTTGGTCTCTTGGACTAGTACAGTTACATATATTTTCTTTCACACTTAGAATCATTTGTACTGTCACTAGTGTGACTGCAAGTTTATTTGGCTAACTGCATGTTTACTTTGCAAACAATGCTGTGTACCACAGTTCTTTCCAAATGATTCACTATTCTTCCTGTTCTCTCACCCTTTAGCAAAATGATATTAGAGATATTAAGAATGTTCATCTTCCTGTATGAACACCAACCCTGAACTGAGCTTTCTCCCATTCCTCTTAAAGCCTTCCAGCCAGTTGGACATGATTTTATACAGTCTGGATGTTGAGCTTTTTATCAGTGATAGATGTTTATTTTTGTCCAAACAAGGACAGACTGGTCTTTGCTCAATATTTCTCAGTTGTTTCAGCAATATATTTGTGCTTCCAGCCGAGTAAGTGCCTTCATCTTTCTCAAGTTTAGAGACCTTCTATTTGAGCATGGCAGCTTCAGTGGTATGTTGAAGGAAGTCTCCCTCCAAACATATGCAAACCTGCAGCTTGGTCCATGAATTCAGTCTTCATTAAATATTATCACTTTGATCTTCGATCTCCAAATGATTCCTCTTCAGATGAGGTCCTTCTTTTGATTGCCTATTGATACCATCTGTTCTCCAGGTATATAGCTGGTTACTTTACCATCAGTGTGAATTACAAAGGCCACAGTGAAGAATTGGTTATTTGTTTGTAACTCTAGCACTACATATGCCGACTGAATTTATTCTCTGACTCCTTTCACTGTCTATATTTTCTCTATTTGGGACTTCAAGAAAGCAGATTTTCATAAATTCAAAGCAGTGGTAAACAGGATTCCATAGAAGCTAATGGGAAAAGTTGGTCTAGATTGGTAGATGTTCCTAAATAAAGAGATATTAAAAGCACAATTGTGAGCAAGTTCAATGAGGGGGGGAAATATAGGAGACTATAGAGGAGATATGAGGAAAATGAAAGCTCAGAATGAGCTGAGGTTCACAGATGCTAATAATAATAAAAAGAGCTTATTTAAGTATGTTTTTTAAAAAGCATCAGTTCACCAGTTGTTCAGTGAAGATGGAGTATGTTCTTATATTTTTCTGATATTTCTAACTATCACATATTCATAGAAGTTATTTTATAAATTTCAATCTGTCTTTGGGTGTTTGGTGCCTTTCTATTGTGCAGGAGCTTGTTGTCCTTTGTATGCAGGAATGTTGAGGGTCTTATATGACAAGGAAAAATTGGATACTTTTGCCAGGGTAAGTAAGCACTGTGTCTTCTATTTAAAAAGTTATAGCATTGTGGATGCCGTCTATTCTGGACTTGCAGATATTCAGTAGAATTTGTAACTGGGTATGTGGGAACAGGAATGGAAAACAAACAATCCTTTATTGAACAGTGAAAGATCTTCCTTGTAGTGACATAAGGGAAGCCCATGTGGCACAAATTGTGGTCAATTTTTCTGGACTGTAGCTAGTAGCTGCAGTCTAAATATAGATTGCACTTAGCAAGTGACTATTTACATGCATGCTGCCTTGCCAGTACCAAAGAGATCTTTCTTACCTCCTAACTAGCCAGTACTATTTAACCAGGGTGGGGGTTTCAGAATTAGTGGGCAAGGAAATTAAAGAGGAGATAAGACAAAAGAAAAGAAAAGCTAAGTAGTCTAGTTTGTGCCAACACCTCTCCATTCTTTTCTAGCCTCGCAAGCCATCCATCCTGTGAGAGATTGTGGGGAGACTAAGTAGAGTAATGAAAAGAAAATTAGACATAAACAACAAGAAATAGGAGGGGAGTCCATTGATAGCTTATTTCATGAATGGCAACTCAATAGATGGCAAGAAACCTGGGAAGAAATTCTTCAAAAACATTCTGAGAGACTTCACCTTAACTAACTCACTAATAAATGACGGTTGGAAATTCCTCTTGCAGTTTCCAGGAGTCTGTATTTACCCCTAACACTAGCCTTAAAGATACCTTAAAGAAGTCTGTGAAATTCTTCATCTTGCCCAGCTACGTGGGGCTAGACATTTGGTTATACCTTGGGCCAGTCACTTTCTCTCAGCCCTAGGAAGGAGGCAGTGGCAAAACACTTATGAACAACCAAGTTTGTCAAGAAAACTGCAGGGACTTGTCCAGGCAGTCTCCGAAAATTGGACACGATTGAATGGATTAAAAAAAATCCATGTACCACTTCATACATTGCCTTTTGTTCTTTAAACTTTTCATCTGTTTTTCAGGATCTCATCAACTCCATCCAACCATAATTTTCTCACTCTTCTGCTTCTTCTTTACCCAGTTATTCTTTTTTTCATATATTTATTTGTAATTGAAACTGAAAAACTTTATTGCAGTCATTAACTAGCAAAAAGGGAATCAGTATGGAAAATCTCCAAAAATGAATTAACAATACAGTATTAGGATAGTTAGGAGAAATACATAGAAAAATTTTTGACTAAATACTATATTGAAAACAGAGAATGTTGAGATACTTGCTCAGGGTACACATGTACAACAAAAAAGAAAAGGGATTTAGATTAGTACTCAGAGTACTATAAACTTTAAAATGGTAACATAAAATTCAAGTAAATATTGATAAATTCAGCAATAAAATAATCCATAAGGGATTTGTGGGTTATAAACTCCACTTGCAGGCCTGTCAAACTTGAGAAGAGTGTTGTCAGGATCTGCGCAAGCTACCATTTAAAGGCTATTATCTCAGCTAGAGGCGCCAGCAAGGTTGAACAGCTGTGAGACCCAGGAAGAGGCATGAAGAATTCAAGCGGGAAAAGTAGAATAGAGGGGGGTTAAAAGGAGAGCTCTGACTAGGGAGGGTCAGTCTCAGCAATTTCTATGGAATGCTGTATGCTGCTTCTCAATAAAGAAATCTTTGCTGGAAACAAATAGACTCCAGAGGATTTACTGGTCTTGGGAATTGAGCGTGCAGACTCTGACATTTGTACAGATCGTCCTCGCTTAACGATCCCGGGACTGGAATTTCTGTCACTTAAGCAATGCAGTCCTTAGGTAAAACATCACGTGACTGTGCCGCTTAGCAACAGCAGTTTCAGTGGTCCTGGTTGCAGTCATTAGGCCAGGACTGTGCCATCACGGGTGAGGACCTCATGCTTCTCCTGCCCTATTACTCTCACCTCTGCTTCAACTCCGCTGCTCCTGCCACACTGCACTCCGCCCTGTATGCCCTCCACCCTGCATTCTGCTGCTTCTGCCACCCCCAGCTAACCTTCATCATCATCTTCCTCCCGCTGCTGACAAGACGCACCAGCCTGGCCCTTCACAAGGCAACTGCTAGCCACATGCAGCCTTCTTCCCAAAGACTTACAGCAAAGGCAGGTGCAGTGGAGTGCAAGGTGACAAGGGTGGTGGAGCTGAAGTGGAGGTGAGTGTAGCAAGGCAGGAAAAGTGTGAGGTCCTCGCCTAATGACAGTGCAGTCCTGGCCTAACGATAAGGGGAGATAGGCGGGTGGGGGGAGTTGAAGCACACCCTGTAGTTGTAAATGCAGGTGGGCTGCCAAGTGCCCAAATCTTGATAACGTGACGGGGGCGCTGCAATGGCCATAACTTCAAGGACTGGGCGTAAGTACCATTTGCTCAGTGCTGTCATAACTTCGAACACTCACTAAATGAATGGTCTTTAAGTGAGGACTACCTGTAGTATAATAACTGACAGGGCACGTACACACCAAGATATAAACACCTTCAAAGAGATAAAAGGTAACCAAGAGTTAATGCTGAGTCTGGGACATTTCTGTCTATCCATACTCAGACAGGTTCAGTTGCTCTTTATTATCCTTTGCCTGGATTTGCAGTTAAGGTGCTAGCCTAGAAACCAGAAGACTGTGAGTTCTAGGCCTCCTTTAGGCAAGAAAGCTGGCTGGGTGACTTTGGGCCAGTCACTTTCTCTCAGCCCAACCCACCTCACAGGGTGGTTGTTGTAGGAAAATAGGTGGCAGGAGTATTAGGTATGTTTGCCACCTTGAGTTGACCTCCCCCCCCCCTGCTGTATATATATAAAAGGCAGGACAAAAATATAACAACAATAACAAAATAATAATAATAATGATATAAAAAACCAGGCTACTTTGTGTGTTATTTCAGGATTAATATTTCAGAAATTGCATGCAATGTTGGTTGGTGAATCCTGTTTTGCTGGTCAGGAGTGGTGTAATTAGAGTACTTTCAGGTTCTGTATAAAAGTGGCAGTACTGCACTGGAAGGAAGAACATGTTTGATAGTTTCAACCTGTCCTGAGTCACAGGGACATGCTTGTAGTGAACATGGTATATTTTTGTATTTTCCAGTCAGAAGTGCTAAGGGGAGAGCATTACATCGGACTAAGGTGAAGGCCCTCGTTTATTTGTGACCAAATCACAGAATTTAAAAAATATAGCATGCCATTAATACATGTGTAACTAAGTACATACATAAAAGAGAGGAATCTTATAAAGTCAACATTGCATTGAAGGGACCTAACAGTTTCTATAAGCTAAGGCTATAAACAAAAATTTTGCTACTGCCTTTGAAACACCTGGATATTGGCCATTTAATAATCTCCTTGTTGTGAGTGGAGTTAATCAGACTCAAGAGCAGGTGTATTAGCTCTGAATGCCAATGCGCATACAGTGGGCACTTTAAAAGGTTGTGTGAAAGAGACTCAACCTCTGTTTGGGCAAATACATACTTGATCTTCATATGGAAGGTTGGCATATCAATTAGCTGTAGGGAGAGCATGTATAAGGGCTAGGGAGAAAAGCCTTCTATGGGGCATACAGAATCTTATAGAAGTAGTTGGGGAGTGTCTAGGGGTAGAGATCAATTTGTAGGTATGAGAGATGGGAAAGTTTGGCTCTGTCCACCTGAACTTTTATGTTTCTCCTGAGACATTTCCAACTTTCACTTCAGTATAATTAAGTGGGCAGAAACATGTTCATATACACAGCTGTCACTTTTGACAAATATTCATTCCTTACAACATACTATCTTTCTGCCAGCACTTGCAGATCTTAAAATTTCTTCTTCCATGTTTGTATCTTTGATAAAAGCTTTAACTTATAAGTACACAAATTAGTCTACTTACTCTAATCTTTTGCAGTCATTCACGTCAGTCTCCCTGTCATAGACAATAATACCCTGGTCTTTGTTACATTAAATCCATACTCCTCATTAGAACATGCAATATATCTAATATTTCTTGCAAATTGTTCAGGATTTTAGCCAACAATACAGCATCAATACAAAAGTACACAGACATTCATATCCCCACCAACATACTCTTATATTACCACAGCAAAGTGCTATACATTTCTCCATAAATACATTGAACAACCAAGCAGATTTCATACATCCTTGTCTTAATCTCTGTTCAGTGTTGAATTATTAGCTTAAAGCAATCAGTTTCTTCTCACATATCTGTTACTTTCATCATATTCCCATTTTCATATTCTGCAACCAGCCTTCAAATCCATATTTGTGCAAAACATCCCATAATCAAAGTTTATTCACTTAATTACTTGCTTTCTCTAAATCAACAGTTTTGGTAAACTTTTTCAACACAGCCATACATTTCTCAATGACCTGCTGAAAAGCAAAAACTGGGTCTGCACATCCCCCACACTGTATTTCCCAGATTTTGCTCTCAGTCACCTTGCATACATTTTCAGTCAGAATGCAGCCATTCCCAGGCATGTGTAACAAAACAATCAGCAACAATACCTTTTGCACTCTTGTTCTCTTTTTCTTTATATAAGGGAACAGTAACAGTATTCGTCAATAATCAGGCACATATACAGTCTTCACATATTGGTTAATCAAGTCACGCAGCCACTCCATAAGCAAAACATGTATTTTTAGTTAGAACTATCAACACCTGCAGTCTTAAACATTTTTTAACATTTTCACAATGATGAATTCCTTTTCATTTTTTATACTAATATTTATAGCAATCATTTTGCTTCTACTTCTCAGTGTATTGGTATAATTCCCATGTAGGTCTCTAAATCCATTCACTTTGCTGGAGGTTTATCACTTAGACCTTTCTACCCCCTTTCAAAATCATTTTTTTTTATTAGAATCATGCATTTTCTCTACCTTTTAAAATCTTAACTGTTCATAAAATGTCATTGATGACATTCTATGCTGCAGTCATTCTCTTATATGCATTTTTTGTCTCATCCACTGCCTTTTTTACTTCACCAAGCATCCTTTTTCATATTTCTCACTCTTCTGCTGCACTTTCCAACATGATTCTTTTCACTCTGCTTCAAGCAACTTCCACATCATCTTTCCTCACATCAATTTTCATTCATTCATTTGGAACATTAATCTATTGCTATTTTTTAAACATAGGAATTGTACTTTCAATACCTATTCTGTACTCCCACTTCTTTCCTCTAATCCATTTCTCCCCTGAGATTCCCTCTTAACATTACAAAGAATGGTCTGTATCACATTCAGATCTTTTTCTAATCATGCTTTTAGATTTATATTCATTCTTCTATGGATACAAATGAATGAAATTATGCTTAAACTGCATATTTGAATCAAACCAATGTTTTCTAAACAGGTTCTCATCTAGGAATCATTATTTTAATTCATTCTTGAGTCTCTGGCCCAATCACTCACCTCCACAATAACAGATCAGTCTATCTTTATTCAGATCTATTACATCTCTGCTTTTAATCTTAGTTGCACAACCACACATGTCTGTTTTTCTTTTCTTGATTTCATCCATTTGTTCATGCTGTGTATAATTTATTCCACTTGCATTTAAAATTTCAATCATCCATGAATCATAGTTGTCACCTGATGGGACTATGAATTTCATCATGACTTTGACCAGTTGAGGCTTTTCATGTAATGCTTTATACTAAAAGAAATAAGAAAGGGAGTAGGCTATGAAGTTGGGTGATGTAGCATTCTCTGCTAATAGAGACAATTCAGTCATGTTTTGCATTTGGTTGAGTATACCAAAAACACAACCAAAGCCCAAATATACTCATGCTATTTTATGAGGATCTCTAATCTACAGAAAGTATTGCACCAACTAAGAGATATATGTACTGTACTACCATACTAGGGATACTGGAAAAACACAATTTTGTAAAATGTCATAAATCTGAAAAAAACTGGATTTTCTTGTAGATAACCAACCAAAAGCCAATCACAGTGCTTGAAATACTTCAAAAGATCCGTCTCCATGTTTCTGTACCACAGTGTGATGTGTTTGGATACTTCAGCATAGAATCTGAAATTATAATTCTTATCATTCCTGTTGATCAGAATCCTAAACTGCTTCAGGTAATGTTTAAAATATTTTTAGTTTTTTGCAGTTAATTTTACTGAAACAGTTCCAGTTTTAGTAGTTGATTTGGGATCTCCATGTTGATTAGGATTTCCAGATGAAATTAATTTCAAACTGAATCTCCAAATCAAATATTTGCACAGCCCTTATCAATAACTTCTATTTTCTAATAAAACAGTGATAAAACATGCAAAGTAGGAAAAAATAGATTAGCTGTCGGAATCTAAGCACTGGCTCAAATGTTAAGTTTATATATTTTTTAAAAAATAGTATTTTTTAAAAGATAGTCATTGGTGAAAATAAATTTCTTTTTAATTATTATTCATATTTGGCTCTCAGAATGCATTCTCAATTCTTTGGAAGAACTTCTCTCTTTTCAGACCAGAGGACATAATAATGGTGCTTTTATTCATTTTAGTAGAAGGCTTTGTTGATTCCCTTGATAGATTGCAAAGACGTGGAACATTTTGGAAAACAGGAGCTGTAATTCGTGTTTGAATAGCATGCTAGGAATTATCCCCCAAATAGTATACATGGCTAGAATAAAAACTAAGTTTGATGTAATGTAATTTTAAATTAAATTTGTGCCTAAAATTTACCAGTTGAAAAAAGCATTCTAGCAACTGTTACATTGAGATAAATAAAAGAATCAGAACACAACCTAAATTCTCCAAGTCCTAAACATGTCAAAATTATTACTGAGACCCAATAGTAGCAAGTCTGATTTACTCCAGTTTATGGAATAACCATACATAATACTCTTGTATTGAAAATAAATCAAAACAGATATTTCTGGTTTATCTATGTTTTCATGGATATCTTCAGTTACTGAAATTCTGTAATTCTTTTAATATTTTCACATTTTCTAATGGAACAATGAGAGATTCCAAAACCAAATTAAAATGAAAGAGAAACAGGGCATGCTTAACATGTAACACAAGGTAAATGTAAAAAAAGCAAAAATAAACTATTAATAATTGCACATTTGAATAAAGGATTGAATAAAACATGTCAATTGAAACTTCCTAAGGTGATCCTATAATAGATCAAATGCTGCTTCAGAAATCTTCAAGAAACACTATCAAAAGCTTCCTTAGCAACAATATTTGAGATTGTGCAGAGATATGAATCTTTTTAGAATTTCTCCAAAATGGTTTGAAGGAGTGATTTAATCAAATTTCCTTTGAATTATATTATTTCTTTAATAAGTATGTAAAGTTCTAATAAATATGCCAAGGAGAGGAAGAAATTCAAAAGGAGGGAAAATATATTCTTTGCTTTTTCTTTTTAAAAGGCCTGATCCAAAAAAGAAAGAAGGAAAAATATAAAACATGCCGACAGACATTTTTTTAGAACTGGCCATTTGAGATGGAGTGATTTCCTGCAAGCCAAAGTTTTTATAGCTCTCCAAAAATGTATTAAGGAGGAGACATTGGGCTGTTTTTCACTGAATTGGGGGGATAATACTTCAGAATTTGTATTTTAATTATGAATGTTCAAAATCATTTTTAAAAATTTGTGGAGTCAACAAGAGAATGGGGAAAAGGAATAAATCTATAGAATGAATTCTGGAATGATAGTCTCTTCAAAGCAACCAATATATATACAAATATAGAATACTACAGAATATAATCCCTGCTGTGCATTATAAATAAGAAGATACATTCAAGGGCAAATGTGTAAAACAAGCAATATTGGCTCTCTTTGTACATTCTTAACTGGACCAGGAGTTAGCAAGTTGCACAAGTATCTTAATCCACTTAGCTGGAACCTAATCTGATCAGGCATAATTTGGGTTCCTCCTATCAAAACCAGGTTAAATTCCTAGAGAGGTCTACACTAATAGGGTTTCTCTGGGCATTCTGTCTGCTTTAACCCCTTGATGGCCACACAGGAGGGTGGATGATGGGCCTGAAAATAATGAGGTAATCCTCCCATTGTGTCTATCCCAATTATACCATTACAGATTTTAACTTTTTTTTTTTTTTTGCATTCTAGTGGGGAGAGGGAGGGGGAAAAGGAAATGTGTGTTTTGCTGCAGCTGGGAAGGTTTAAAAAATGGCCATTCTGTAATTGGCAGTGACATCTCAAAGTGAACAGATGATGAGTTATTTGCCTGAGTTATTTGCTGATCTGGTCAACAAGTCTTGCAACTAGAGCCACTAAAAGACAGAGGGAAGGGAAGCCTTTTCCTACTGAGTTTATAAAAGAATTTTGATCTTGCTTCCTGTTACAAGAAAGAAGCACTCTGAATAATTAAAGGATGTCCTCTGGAAAAAACCAAGGTTGCATATTTTCCATAATGGCATCCTCTTCACTATTCACTAAATTCAATATTATGTTTTCCTAGATTGAAGCGTGCAATAAAGAAGCAGAAAAGATAGAATCACTGATCAACTCAGACAGTCCTGCTTTAGCATCCCATGTGCCTCTCTCAGCGCTTATTGCAGCCCAGGTGGAAGTTTCATTCAAGATGTCCTCTTCCCACAGTCAAGTTATATCAGCAGAGTATTTGGTCTTTTGGAGCCTTGTGCTAATTTTCTCAGCCATCATGTGTAATACATAGTCAAAACAAAAAATGTTCAAATAGACTTTGGTATTTGATTTGCGAAAGACATTCAGATCTAGTGAGGTAATAATAATGTCATAATCTGCGGACCTATTTGTGGGCCCACACAATACCAGCTATGACATTTTAATTACAAAATTAGATTATTTGGCATTAACTTAGTGTTTAATATACAGCAAATAAGCACTGCTGCACAGTATAACAAAGATGTTTTCTTCAGTGCTGAAGGCAGCATACTACGGTCACTGTGGTGCTTATGTGTACACACTCATTTCTTTTAGCCCTGTTCAGTCAGGCTTGTTTGGAAATGTCTACTGTAGGGTTTTGAATGTCCTGGCAAGGGAGGCTAAGCTGGCTTCAGATCTCTGTACATGGAAAATCATTTTTAGTCAGATAGCTTGCTGCTATCATGGGTCTTGTGATTTCTTACTGATGAGTTCAATTATTTTTTAAAATAATAACTTTAGTGTTCTAACTGTTTTGGATCATTAGATGCCCTGAGCATTATTTTAGTGGCAAGGCAAGATATAAATTAAAGGAATAAATTATTAAATAAATATTGTTGGATCTTTTAAACTGACAATAGTAACAGGGCATACTAAATGAGTGTATATGCATCAGGTATATAACAGATATATAGCACGCTTTTTTCAGTTCTGGGAAATTTTCTTCTGTCACAAGCCTTAAACTGCACCTCAGCACCCAAGTGTCAGTATAAGTCAGGCAAACTTTTTGGAAGCATTATTTTTTAACAAGCATATGCTCAGTTGCATTTTTATCAGTTTTTTTCCCCATTATTATCCTTTAAACCATGAATAATAATTCTAAACCTAGCTTATCCAAAGAAAGTTATTAAGCAGAATTAGAAGTACAAGGGAAAAATTAAAGACATAGATGCCAAATAACATTCAAGGGTATATTTTCCTCACATTATGCAAGTGTGCGCTTTCCTCTGTGCTGTGCAAGGATGCCATAGTGTGTATGCCAATGCCAATTTCTATTTTGCACCCAAGTAATCCATATAGAAGCGCACGTGATGCATCTATTCTGCATATGCGAACAGCTTATTGAGAGGCAAGGTTGAATCAAAGTAATGGTTTTAGTTTCCCTTGAAGATGAAATTGGTGTGTGTGCATGTATGTGTAATTGTGTGTATAATTTTCACAGCTGACACATATTTTATAAGGTTAAAAAGTTATTTTTATATTACTTTAGAGCAGGGGTGCAAAAAGTGCAGCTGGATGGTCACATGCAGCCCTCAGTGCAATGGAAATAGCACACCCCTGATTTAGAGGTATATTATTCAGAATATCCATTTTAAAAATTAGTATTTTGAAGGAAAATACTGCTGCTACTAAATAAATGTACCAAAAATGAATAAGTTTTCATGTAGAATCCTAGAATCATATTACTGGAAGTAAATACATAATGAAGAATATAGCCATGGGCCTTATTCTGCAAAGAATGTGAAGTAAAATTACACGTGCACAGAAGAATTTGCTGAATATTGTTGCCCCATTGTCAGTCATGTTTTAAGTAGTTTTCTTTCTTGTGTTAAAATGTATAAAATGTGCAGCTTGAATAACAAACATTGTTTACACTGACTTTCTTTGAAAAGTGATATGATAAAGAGCATTAAGATATTTGTGAATGTCACTCTAAATAATGCAGTATTTCTATATTATTCTAGATACTGTGGTAAGGATATTACACTATTACACTCCTAGTGGGTTACTATTTTATGCAAAGTGTGTATCAGAGGACAAAATCCAGCAGGAAAGTCTTCTGTACAAATCATAAACAGAAACTGTTCAGGTGCTAGAGAGAGATTATTACATGATAATCTGCTGGATTATGCTCTTATACTTTTTGTGCACCTGACCTTTTCTAATATTTTGTTATCAGTATTATTATAGGTCACTTTGAAGTATGTATAAATAGCACCATCTGTGCCAAATTGTTAAATATTAAAATACGAAGTGAAAACTATTTTAGCATCTTTGTTGGCAACAGTTTGTGGCAATTATTTTGTTTTGATTCTTATAAAAAATAAATCTTTGCAATGTAATATCAAAGCTTTTATTTTAATAAAATATTTTTTATATTTTATGTCTCATTTACAAATGTATAATTTCATAAAAATGGTACATTTTAACATTCATAGTTTTGTTGTTATACTGTATATTAATAATAAGCATCTTTTCCAATGTTAAACCACAAATCACCTTAATTTTTTAAAAATGGAAGAAAGAGAAATAGTGACATTCTGCATCAGGATAACAGTTATTTCAATGCACTATGTGAGATAAGCTATTGGAACAATGAAGAAAAAGCTAGAAATCTTTGGTGCCTTCTGGCTGTCTTTCTCAACTTGTAGTACTTTCCCCTTTCCTGCACAGTTATGTTACTCTGACTGCCACAAAGTTTTGTTTCTGGGCAGCTGCAGGAAGAAATCTCAGTGCATAAGGAGATGCCATCAGAACTGAAAATTCCATATGTGAGACAAACTCTGTTTGCGAGAACAATATAACTCAGTAAGTTAGAAAAACTGGGATAACTTGAAAGATAAGAAATCTTTAAATGTGACAAAATATTCTAACAGCAATCTTTTTCTTACAAAGCATTTAATGGATTCTGTTCTAACCCTTTGTCTTTGCTTATTAACAGTGACTCAAAGTTAAGCAAGGTTCTCAGGTTACGTAACCAGAAAGGTGGCTCTTTAATTCTTAGCTCTGTTGGCCCACCACCTGGAGCTTGCTAATGCTGACATAATTGGATGAGTCCATGCACTTACTTACACTTTTCAATATTATATGTGTTCAAAGCACAGATAGTAGAACCAAATATTTAGAATAAGTTACATATTTTTCAGTTTCACATCAGATTCAATCCACACTACAAGACATCCACAAGTTACCATAATTTCATTTGCATGCCATTCTTTTTTTTTTTCATGGGGTTTAAAGAAAAATTTAGTTCAAATTTTGGTTTCAGAGGAATTTCTTCTCAAAGAAGATCTAAACTAAGGTTCCTGAACAATTTCATTACCTAATCTGGGCAATTCGCCAATTTAAAATAATGGAATATACCTTCAAAGTTTTAATTTAATTTAATCTTTTTAAAGTATACTTGTAACACTTTTTAAGTAACAATTCATTTTGAAGTCCTTTTTAAAATAAAACACTGCCTGTGGTTGATTCTGCAACAGATTGCTGTTGCTTTCTACATACCAGCACTAAGTATTTTTCAGTTTTCCTTCTAGCACTGATTTCATTCTAGATTCATGCAAATCAGCAAAGAACCTTAAATCACAGCAGCTAGGATTGCTTATGCTTCATTATATTAAGCTCTGTTGGGTGTGTTGCAGAGCATTTGGAATGAGATTATTGTTGTTTTCCAAAGTGGGTGATGACTCATCTTCAAAGTTAATTTCAAATTCCCCTGGTCCCATTTGATCAGGTGATAGGCTTGAACCACGTGTGGATGGTTCTGTTATTTCATCATTGCTTAGTAATCCCATAGATTCTTCTTCTAGAAAGCCAATTTTATTTCTTTGCTGCTTGATTGGACTTAATTTACTTCTTTGTTCTTGAATTTCTGTATCACTTGCAATGTTTGCAAATGCCTGTAATCGCCTTTTAAGCTGAGATTCTGCTTCTTTGATGTATTGAGCTGCTATTGTTTTTTTGCAGCAATTGATTATGATGCTGTAAGAATTATGTGGAAAAAGTATTATAAGCGAAAATTGCTAAACTATTCATACAAAGCCAGGACATATAATTTGGTTTGGGATTAGGCTGAAAGATAAATATAATCTACTGAAACATAGGATGGAACCCAGTATCATTTAATATTTGCAGAAGTGTAGTTTGGCATGATCATACTCTAAGGATTGTGTGAACCCTTCTGATGACCCATATGTCATTCTTTTTTCTTTTTCCTATGACTTTATTCCAGTTTTATGGAAAATCAACAGTCATTATTAGTGGAAGTAAACTTGAGAGGAAAAACTGGCGCTTTAGCTAATAGTTTAACATCAGCCTCCATATCTTAATTTTAGCTATCACTGTTTCTTAATGGGGGAGGGCATTAGCTACCCAGCTGAGTGCAGCAAGTATAGACCCAGAAATTTGGTCTGAACCACCTCAAGAGTGTTCTTCCCAACAAACAAGCTCATCTGGGCTCCATACAATATTTGGGCCAAGATTTCAGTTTGGAAAGGTTTTAAGGCAGCCAGTACTAGTTTGCCTCCTTTAGTAAAAAAAGAATGGTGAAAACCATAACGTTACATTTTTGGAAGTTAAGTGCCAGCCTGTTCTTGCTTGTAGTATGGGTGTATAGAACTCACTGCCTTTCTAAGTCTTATAGTAGAGAAAAAGGTAGCTCTTCATCTCTGTATAAGAGTGTTAGGATCTTGCAGCCTAGTTTGGGGCCTGACAATCTGAGTTGTTCACTGATTCAATAAGAAATTAATAAACAAAAAGGTAAGTGACTGGCATAAATAAATAATGAAGTCTGTATGGTCCAATGAAAAAGATCAAGGATTAAATTCAAGATTTTACAGGATTTGAAAGAGTGATGCAGACTGGCGGCTCCAAACTTTACTATCATGCCAGTTGCTTAATACAGATTGTGTCTCCTTATAGGCTGGCTACCTGTAGAGGGCATGGGGAATGACCCTGAAGAACAGGGAGAAGAGCCACTACCAAGGTAATGATCAGACAAGTGCAGCTTAAGTCCATTCCAAAAACTAATTTAAGAAAATGTCTTAGGTCCCTCCCTAATTCACATGAAGTGAGGGGGGAGGGAAGCACATTCACATTTACAAGTTTTTGTTATTATAGTTTTTCCAGTAAAAGTCCTTTTATACCTATATGGCATTGATTTCTTAGTCTGGTCTGCTTTGTAGAGGTGAACTACCTCTACGGAAGGGGCAAGACTTCCAGACAGTCTGATAAATATATCTGGTCTTATACAAATAGAAACAAACAATTTATAAGTGACCATGTAATAATAATATGGCACTCAAATTTTGTTACTAATGTTCACTTTTATGAAGAGGAAAACACATATTTGCTGAGAGGAGAGTTAACAATTCATTTAGAATGCAAGATCTAATTAATAATAAGACAAAGATAAAACCTTTTGCAACTCTTACATGGTCTAGTTCACTTAACTGGTTTCAGTATATTCAAATAAGTAGCATACTATTAAAAGAATTGCAGAATCAAGAGGGAGACTTGACTGAATTTAAAACTTATAAACTTGGAATATCTGTTGGTAAAGTATGATTTAGAAACCAAAAATTAAAAAAAAATGAAATGGATGCAGAATTAAATATGATATACAGTCAGGTCCAGAAATATTGGGACATCGACACAATTCTAACATCTTTGGCTCT